CGCCATCCCGCCCGCTCCCCGCACGCCGCCGCCGGCCCCTGCAAGCGGCATGAGCCAGCCCGCCCCGGCCTCCGAAAGCCACCTTTTTTTTTTTCTCCTCCTCCTAAAGTATTAAAAAATTGAGCATGAGGCCAATGAAACGTTTGCGCCGAAATGTTTTGCCCGCATCGGGTAAACGTCCCGGCGTATCGCTACTCGCTCAGCAACAGTTCAGCTCCCCTCCGGAGCAGGGCTGGCTGCGAGCTGGGTTCGGTTAACCCTCTCCCTCTCAGGCGCACTCTCCCCCCCACACACACAAAGCTGGCAACATGGCTACCACCACTCAAACAAGTTCCTTGCAACTTAAAGCCTGCGTTACCAAATGCACAGCTCGGCCGGGCAACGCGGCCCCCCGGCTCGGCGGCGAGGGCGAAATAAGCGATCAACTTTCCCCGGCGGGCTCGGCGAGAGCGATTTTAAACCAGCGTTTCAGCTGCCTGCAAGCACATCCTTTCATCTAGGCACACCGATGCAGTGAAGGAGAAACTGTTAAATTGTCGAACCAGGCCTTCGCAAAGTTTAAACCTTAAAACCCCTGAAACTAACAGCCCTGGGTTACAAAATCCGTATTGGGAAAAAATCTACTCACCTTCCGACAGGTCCTCTATGCACTCAAATGTGATTTCGAATTGAAAAGGATTGTAGAAAGGAGAAGGATTATCCAACACCACTACATTGTTCACCTGAAGCTTTGCAATATTTTGAAAAAAACACAAACAATAGGAATCCTCCTATGCAAGATATATACGTATGCACACACCTTCCTCTGTGGCACCTTCGGTGGCTTAAGGACTGAACTCAATCTCTTGAACAGTCTTCACCAAACGGAAATGCAGCTTTTTCCATATAACTATCTGTATTTGTTCATGGCAACCTGTTTAGCACCACCGTAGAGACTCACATTACAGAGCGCAGCCACTCCAAACTCTTGCAGAAGTGAACTACTAACACAAACACTTCTATCGTTAAAAATATAAAGTTTTTGTCTGAAGAGGACAGGCAGAAAACTGGTTAACCACCACCAGCTAGGCTACTGCATACGCAGTCTTACTGCTGTCCCCAGAACATAAATCTCTCTGCTTCTCTTTGTCATTTATTGTTTACTTCTTTCAGGTTATTATGGCTATACAAATAAACACTATGCTTTCAGTCACGTCCTCTCATTTCAACGTAACATTGGCTGAGGATCTGAAGTGAAAGAAGGTATGTGACAAGCAAGATAAAGGCCAACATCCAGGTGACTGCGGATAAGGAATTTCTGACATAAAAACCCCTAGAGACAAACTAAATTGCAAATAAAGACTTTAAAGAATCATTAAATTTCTGCTATCAGCAGGCTGCTTGGGTACTGTTATCATGTACCAGCTATTTATTGTATCGGAAGAGGCCGCGCAGACGGAAACCTCGCGCACCCCCGGGGCACGCGCTGAATAAGTGGGGTTTTTCCAGTGGGGTGCCAGGTTTCCGGGCTGGTCTGCGTGGGCCCGGATTCTGTGGCGAATCCGCATAGCTAGAGAGATCAACAGCTTATTGAGGGGTCAGGAGTTATCCTTTAAACAGCAGCATTTTCAAGAATGTGCTGAATTTCTTAATGTGCTGAAGAAGGCCTTGGGTGAAATAATGCATCGGGAAGCCAAATACACCCTTGTGCAGCAGCAGGAAGTCCGCAGAGGAGGCCATCTTAGGCCTCCTTTGCACGGGGGATAGGGAGCATAAACATGTCCCCATAGCACCGCTCCTGCCTCTATGGGGGGGGGCTGGGTTGTGGGCCAGCGGGGAGCTCCTACCCAGGGCTAGGTGAATATTTTTCCTCCTAACCCCGAGTGGAGAGTCTGTGGAAGTAAATACACAGGCAGGTTGTCCTGCCTGAAGGGAGCCCTTGGATGCAGGGGAGGTCACAGGGCAGGAAGGTACGTCGGAGCCATCTTCCTCCCTGCACGGAAAGGCTGAGCTGTGCTGGCAGAAGCAGAGCGGGTCTGCAGCGGGTCGGAGCATAGCACTGAGGCACAGGGTCCTTCAGCAAAGCACCGAGCTCATGCAAAATTGTGAAAGGAGACGATGTTTTTGATTTGTAATTACAAAGAAATGTCATGGTCTGCATGCTTGCCTGATCTTGCTTGCTATACTTTTTTATAACTTTCTCCTTGTGTCTGTCTGGAGACTAGAGACTGTTTTGGTTTTTGTAATTCTGCTATGTAACTGACTGCCCAAGTTGTGTGGTTAGTACTGGGCTTACAGAATCCAGGAAACCTGGAGAGATGGGACGCAATGAAAGAGGTTCTTCTTAACAAGCTAAAATATGTGATCTCTTAACAGGAAACATATACTTCCAATAACTTTTCACTGGCTATTTGGAAGCGAACAGCTACTGTGGTCATCTGCACAGTGGTGAGAAGGTAGCAGCAGCCTCTCCTCTCTGGACCCACTGAAGTTTTAGTGGGAGGATCTTTTGGTTAGTTTTGCCCTAGCATTCCAGGAGATGCGAGGCTGGTTGCAGCTTGTCAGCTACTAGGATATTTTGAGCTGAACGCTGCAGGGTGACAAAGAAGGGCTAAAGATAGAGAAAAGGCTGGGAAATAGGGAATACAAAGTTTGAAAGGAGCTGCACCTATTTGATAATGAACAGCCATTCCCACAGGTTTAGTTACAGCCCCCAAAACAACCCCGTTTTTAAATGTTGTTTAATGCCTAGCAGTAGAATTGTCCTGAGGCTCTTAACCCACATTCAGAACTGTGTCAGTATTGCATCATAGGAAATAATTAGTAGAGGGAATGTAAAGCTGAAAGTGCAGCTCTGTAACCAGAAGACGTATGAGGAAGTTTTTCTGGCCTGTGATGCACCTGGTGTTGTCTCATGCATAGATTTACAGCGGGATTTACCTCTTGGGAACTCTTTTTTCCATTTCATCTTTGAGTATCTTGGCTTTTCATTTTAGCTTAATGCTCAAAGGAACCAAATCTCAAAAAGAGACCTTATTGTCTTAGTTCAAAATGAGAATCTGTCGCAGCTTCCTGGGGACAGAATATTTGAAATAATTTATTTTTCCAAGCTTCATTCTTCAGTTCTGGAATCTTTGTCTGTTTTAATAGCTGATGGGGAGGAAGAGCTATGTGTATCCATTCTGTAATTTTGCTATCTTTGCATTTACCCCAAATTTCAATTTGATTAACAGATTCAGTCTTTTAACCGTAATCACTTTTGTACATTTATCAATGTCATAAAACAAGTTATTACCAAACGTGGGAAGCTTAACAGACCCTGTTCAGCAGATCCAAGCTGACCTGCATAGTACTAGTGTGATTTCTTACTGGTAGGTGTAAACTGAATTACATGGTAGAGTTGTGTGGTGAAGCTAACCTGCTGTTTTGCCTTCTGTCTGTGGTACAAGCCAATGTACGGAGTCCCTTTCTTTCACTGAAGTGCGCTCCTGCGTTTTATGGAAAAGGCTGACTGAAGTAATTGATTCTTCAGGTTTGACAGTGACTGCTGTGAAGGACTTTGGGGAGTGGAACTTGGAGGCTGGAGCCCTGGTGCTTGCAGATGGAGGCCTTTGCTGTATTGATGAGTTCAACAGTATCAAAGAACATGACAGAACCAGTATCCATGAAGCAATGGAGCAACAGACCATCAGCGTAGCTAAGGCAGGGTAAGTGGCGTGTTACCGTATGTGACAAAATAGCGTAAGATGTTTCTATTGTACTCAGAAATCAAATATGTTGGAGACAGGTCTGCCATGCTGATTAAGTGTAGCTGCTTTGTTTGTTGCACTGTATAGTTTTATTCTTTATGATATTCTTAAACTAGGTGAGCCAGCATTTCAAAGGGCAGTGCAATGGACTAGTGGTTGCACGCGACCAGAATAAATACATTCCCTCTGCACTGTTTTGTTTTCAATCTACCACTGCAGGCAAAGGCACGTCCCTAAGATGACTTTGTGGTTTTTGCTTGTCTTTTAGTGAGAATTGTCATAATAGTCATAAGTGAAATGAGGAACTTTGTGAACTTTGCATTGGAACTCAGAAGTGAGGGCTTTTGTTTGCCCCAAATTCAGAAATACTGAATGGTAACAAAAAGAAGACCAAGAGATTTCCAGGCCGCTCAGTTTTATCTGCTGGGTGTGGCATGGATATCAACTCCAGCTTTCAGCTTCTTGCTTTCCTTTTCAAACCACTGTGTGTTAAAATTTGCCTCCTCCCTCCCC